AGGCAAGTAAAGAATCCGTAGCGTCGATAGAATCGACGGAACTCTTCCGGGAACGGGAGGGCAGACTACAGCGGCGACGATCTCAACGTCAAAAAGACGGGGTTCAAGTCCGCTAGAATTGGGGACCCCACGATCCAATGACCGAGCCAAGACGCATTTTTCCTCGTTGTAGCATATCTCGGGATACGTTATGAAGTACTGCTTATCAATTATCAAAAGCCATGGCTGCTGGTTCTGTATATACAAGAAGGGGCAATATGGTCCTTGCTTCTTTGTTTCCTTGCTGAACACGTGCAGGGTACGGCGCAGGGCAATAATACATATTGGAAGTGGAGGAAATTATCAAGATTCAAATCTCGCTCAAGGCGGGCGGTTCCCTCTTAGGGCGTAGTACTGTCCGGTGCCCACTTGATTGAGATCTTCCATCGCCGGCGATCTTTCAGGAGGAAGGGTTTGCCGAATCACGAGGCGCACAGCAAGGGCCAAATTGTCAAAGGATGGACCGTCTGGACCATCTATAGCATTACGTCCGTACCAACGTCATGCGTGGTTCAAGGATACTGTCTTGCTGGTCTTGTCATACGGCGGAAAATATCCTAATTCGTGTACCAACACCTTGTTCGAAACTCATAGCTGTGCTTCACCTTCGCTGAGAGATTGGTGTTAAGAGTTCTAGAGGTTAAGAAGTTGTACCTATCGCATAGTACAACGGACATTATTAAGGCGTCTAGACCCCTGATGATTCCCCGGCTAGAGGCCCCATCGTGAAGATTGACTACGACGACGCAATTGTTTGAGGCCAAGGACCCTTGGAAGCTTGGCTCGCGAGGCTACAAGGAATGAGGTGGTCTAAGCGGTTTATGAAAGCAAGGGATCATCTAACCGAACGACTTTGACGCGATGATATCCCAATCCCATGTCTCGGGATCGCACTAAGGTCTATTACTCACAGACCACGCGAGCACAGATGATGTATGTTTGAGTGCTCGTGGGAGACAGGGTTTAAAACATTATGTTCGAATATTAAGATCGTATCCGTATATTATCACAAGCATTCTGGAAACAATCATAAGATCCGGGCCGTGATGGAATTATTTTACTATGTAGTAAGCCTAGTAAATCCGACTGAAGTGATGGGCGTTGCCGACACCATAGGATTGGGACGCCAATCTGATACGCTACGGCGTAGACAAGGCATTAATCCCATACGCAGTAGGCAAGCCATATTAATCAATACGTTCATGCAGAACTATGGTGACGTTTGACGTTTGTTGCGGTGTGAATAGGCTAAATTAGGAAAGTGGCATAACGTCGTTTAGATTGGTTGTTATTGTTGAAGGAAATGAAAGAGATCGACCATACAATGATGAATAACGAAAAGAGAATGTGGCTCACGGCGGTGAGTTTCGAAGGGAATGATAATCTTCTTCGTTACGCATTCTTACCACACCTTATCCAATCTGCCGACTGCCATTTAGGACTTGTAGATTGGCGAGGAGGCAGAGATAGACTCCCTTCTAAAAGCGACCGAAATAATACCATATATTATTGCGCTTATGTAGTGTTATTGGGTGTATTGGGGGCTGGGTGTAAATATTGTATGACAATAATGTGTGACTGCAAAATATCGAGTGGCTACTAATAACAAATCAAGAGCGAATCAAGAACCATAAGCATTTAGATGTTTTTGGATTCGTAGTCATCTGATATGAATCATATTTATAGAATAAGACAAATAGTGTCTTAAGGTCTCCCAATGACTCTTATCGTGAGAAACATTTACCACGTATATGAGAGGAGTGTGGTGGCGGTACGAAATGATAGGTACATAGAACCTGGGTATATGGAATTAAGAGATGCTGCGGTTCAAAGAATATTCCGATCTTCCGATCTTAGTTCGATTGCTTTTTTGGTTCAGAATACATGGGTAAGTACGGAATACGTACCTAATAATATGTAATACAGGTACCGATGACACTTTAGCGCTTTAAACCTTAGGCGTTTAAACTAATTTATCTTATTTTAATCCTGGCACTTTTACATTTTACATCTTCCATCTTTCATCACCAAGGTTGACTGTTCCATGTGTAACTATCTATTACTCAGTACAGTTAAAATAGATACTAATGTCGATTGCGTACATACTATTCTAGCATATATTGACATCCCATTTCTTGTAGGCTGCTGGCTTATTTGAGATCTGAGCACATAAGCAGTCAGGACTGTATCTCGTTCGTGGATTGGTTCAGATGCCCTGGACCGGACAGCCTCACTTCTCGGCAAGACATCAGAAGGCGCCGGCCAATCTCGTCGAATCAATCCTTCATCCCTTTGCCGTATTACGAGGCTACTGCATGCGGTCGCCCACGCCCGCACCAAAGAGATTATTTAATACCACCCACACTGTTCGGAGATAATCCCTCACTTCAAGGCCACAACCTGCAGCCTCGAAAAACCTGGGGCTCCATCAGATTCATTACCGTCCACACCCACCTGCTGCTCTTGGCCAATCATCGCCACCGACGGCTAGGGAGGTCTCGTCTGTAGACCCTCGGGATGCAACGAGAAGTCTGAGCGCCATTGGACACTTTCTTGCATTTGCTGCAATGCCACCGCTGCCATTCTACGAATCCGGTATCGTTACCGCCACTAGTAAATTTTCTGCAGCTCCCTAAGATTCAGTCGGTTAGTTAGTCGTCAATTCAGAGAGCGCCCGGAGGGCGAAATGGCAAAGCGCCCATCTACTCTAGTGAGTAGCCCGTAGCACCAGTAGTACCGCATCGTCAACGGCCGAAGTCCTTCCATTAAAAAAAAGAGAATCTAAAATGAGGTAAAAATAAAAATATGCTCAGTTTAGGTACTCCCGCAATATTGAGCGCGCGGGTACAAGCGGCCCCAGCGAACGTCCCTAATGCATCGCCTTTGCCGCTTGACTAGCAAAATGGCTTAGACGTCAGCTCATTTCCAGCAAACGGCATATTTGTGGCGGCAAAATCAGATCCAGACGGCCAGAGACACAGCAAACAGCTGCTATTATGCAATGAGATATACCAGGTACTTACCATACCATACCAAACCATACCAAACCGCTGTGCTGTACCTACCTAGTATACGGACATGCCGCGCAATTAGGTAGTCCGAGAAATACCTAGACAAGAAAATACGTACGAACAGCAACAGCAATACTAGGCCGTACATGTAGATATCCTGCGTTTTCACTCTGCGAGAAGACGAAAAGGAAAAAGAAAGGTTAGTCTGCAAATCCAGATAATTAATGCATACGGGATACACTATTACCAGTGTCAGTCCATGTGGGCAGATTATCGGATTGTTCTTTCACAGACCAACATACATAGTCCAAGGTGCGACATAAACAGAGACACCGATCTTGCTCAGTGGCTTGCCATTGGCCAATGTAGCATTAATCAGATGGGACACGAAGCAGTATTTGCAACAGAAGGATTACTGGGCAAATTCCTATTCAAAATGCTGGTCTCAGATACTGCCATAGCCGGGTGACCTTTATGCATTCTCTTTATGAGTCTTAGTAGCAACACAGTTGTGCGGAAGAGCAAAAGCATTACGGGTCTCTATTCTCTGAGAATGTTCCCGAGTCACAACACTGGCCTTGGCTTGGACAACGGTTACAACCGTCTACTATGTATTAGGTACTACAAATATGCACGAGGCGGGAAAAGAGGGAAAGAAAGTTTGCCTTAAGCAGTTTTTTACAAGCAAAGATCCATTTATCAGCAGGTTTGCTCGAGGCGAGCTTCATTTGAAAAGGAAAGAAGAAAAAAACGATGCAATCTTGTTAGATGTCTCCATCTACTCTTCAAAGTTTGACGAGAAGAAGTCTTTCTTGTTAGCCAAATCAAGGATCTTGCCAACCGCCCGGCGTCCCAATGGCAAAAGAGCAAGAAAAGTCATGCGAGTCACGGGTCGCCGATTTATGACGATTTGCCCGGCCAGTGAGAGAACGGGTGTGTGAACTAACGAGATGAAAAAGAGGTGGAGAGTCAGCAGCCTGTACCAGTATTTTCAGTCTCTATCAACAAGATCACACGCACGCCCCCCTTCTCTTCGGCTCGGTCTCTAACTAGCTCGACTGGGATCTTGGGCGTGGTATTAGACATTGGATATGGCTCTATTAGGGTAGCAGTGGCCCACCTTAGGCCGTTGAGTGGACCATTTATTTTCGTGTGTCAGACCATCCTTGTCTTCGTATATTACGACGAGCCACGAAGATCTTGGTCCTTGTTCGGGCTGGGTTATCCATCCCTCCTAGTGGAGCGCCCTAGAAGCACTGGTCCCATTCTTGACACCTCCCCTTGCTCCCCTTCTCCTGTGAGCTCCACTCTCGCCAGGCCGCCTTCACAGCTACGCTAGCGCGTCAAATTCAAGAATAGCGCATGCGTGGGAAGTGGCACCAGTAGGTCAGACATGGATGTGAGCTGGCTATTGATCACTGTGGATTGAAGAGTCAAGCAGAAGGTGGCCAGGGCTTTTCTGCTTGAGCCACTCCAAACACGCAAAAGACCCAGGCCCCTGATGCCCGCTATCTCAATATCTACATCAACCTCCCAGTCTGCACCTTGCTTCAACCTCACATCGTTCACTACCTCCGTTCATTGCAAAAGCTACTCGCCCTTCTACCTCACGACTACCCCTTCGAACTCAGATTCGTCGCCATAATATCCATCGCCATCAACGCTCCCTTATTTTATACTACTGGCCGTCGACATCCGGCCCCTACACGGCGACTTCTATACTAATCCATGGCCCGTTAACTCGACGCCATCTACATACGACCCAGGAACATAAATTAGCTACAGCCCAAGGACTTTCCGTGGATTTTCTCCCAGGACATTTGCCTTTTGGTTTGAGGACGTTGTTCCAGTAGAGAAGGCCGTTTTCTCTTGATTCCTTTCCTTATCTCTGTTGCCTTTTAAGATCCAGTCCCGGTTTTACCAGGAAAGGACCATAATCTGTCGCATACCATGCATAATGTGGCAGCGTACGGGTATCCCACGCCTCCGGCATCCCCCTCCTACGACAACACCAAGTGTGCTTTTCAACAACCACCACTAGCTGTGCCTCCTGTTTGCCAACCTCGATACACTCCAGCTGCCCCGGAAGATAGACTAGGAAAGTTCCTTGGAGAAAGCCTGCAGTTGATAGGAATTATTGGAACCGGTGCCTATGGCGTGGTCTACCTGGCGGTCGACGTCAAGACTGGAGTCCGATATGCAGTGAAGACGCTCAGCAAATTCAACGCAGACGGATCACCTCTGGATCGACGGCAAATTGCCTTTCAGCACCGGGAACTACGCTTACACTATATGGCCTCGGCGCATCCTAACGTTGTTTCCATGCACAAAATTGTTGACGACCCGGATTGCATATATGTTATCCTGGAGTATTGCCCTGAAGGTGACCTTTTCCTCAATATCACAGAGAGAGACAATATGTGGGTAAGGATGCATTGGTCAAAAGCGTATTCCTGCAGATCCTGGACGCCGTTGAGCATTGCCATAACCTGGGGATCTACCACCGCGACTTAAAACCCGAGAATATCTTAGTTTCGAACCGGGGAGACACGGTAAAGTTGGCAGACTTCGGCTTGGCGACCTCATCAGACCGGTCCGAAGATTACGGATGTGGTTCGACTTTCTATATGTCACCAGGTAAAGACTCGTCGGGAACCTTTTGCTTTAGGGATATACTAACTAGTTCGTTTTCTCTTACGCAGAATGTCTGGACCCATCATCCCGAAGGCCATTTTATTACTGCGCCCCAAATGATGTCTGGAGCCTTGGTGTTATCCTAGTAAACTTGACCTGTGGTCGTAATCCGTGGAAGCAAGCCTCCTTTGAAGATTCCACATATCGTGCCTACACCAGGAGTCAGGATTTCCTACGGACTATTTTGCCATTGTCGGATGACCTCAACAATATACTAGGGCGGATATTTACCCGCAACCCAGACCACAGAATTACGTTACCAGAACTCCGGAACAGCATCCTCGCCTGTTCCAGATTTACGATTTCACCTAATGCGCCTGCCCCCCAGGCAGCGCTCCCAACACCGCCCACTTCACCCGGGCCCATCGAATACGTTGACTGCGAAGAAGCCATTGTCGAAGACTTGAGCTACGATTCGCCACCATCACCCTCCGCTTCGGATTCCGATACGGAGTCCATATGTTCATCCGACGATGGATCTCTTACCTCGAGTGTTTCGACTATCGACGACATAGACGACGACGACTTCGTTATCACGGAGGATGAGATCCCTCCTAACCAGGAGCCTCAGTTGTATGATTCAGAAGAATCAAAAGTTATGTTTCCACAGGAGTTTGTCCCGCAATACTCAGGCCCTATTGAGCCCTGCCAGCCTTGCGCAGTTCAAGTTCCAGGAGTGCAGGCTAGCTGTGCACCAACCAAGTTTGCCTTCCCATATTTTTGGGAAGTGGTGAATAGGTACACACAACCTGCACCCATACATTCCATTCCTTTCCATCCACAAGTTCCTCTTTTTTCCAACTTCCAAGGCTGCTATTAAGCTGCATTGATTATGTGTAGCTGCCCTGTTGCCTTGGATGCATTTTATCCCAAGGTCATGTTGGCTTGTATTACCGGATACCTGGACATAGGCCGTTAGGAATATTATACCATGGATAGCCTAGCCACGGATCCGGACCACCAAGACCTAAGGATTAAGCTTCGACAAAACCAGTTCACCTTGAATATTACGTTTATAATACACATTCTATTGGAGCCGTGGGAATATATCCGGAAATCCATACCCAAAAATGGAGCTTAAAAAAAGTTGTGTTCAGACACGGCGCATTTTGGGAGCATATTTTTTTATGCCCTTCGAACCTGTACTTACCTCAACATCATGTTTTTTCTTTGTTTATTCAGCGTGGAGTTAGTGGGATGATTTGAGAGATGAGGATCAATCCATAAGACCAAGGACCAAAGGGAGCCATTATCTTATTTACAATCCGGGACTGATACGGGAAAGCATCATTACACGGCGCAAAACATACAACTGGAGATGTTTGAAGCTAGGAGGCTATTTCTGCACAAACTTGTTATTTTCTAATATGTCGTTACTGCACGGGTTGCATTCAAAGGGGGGATGTCGATACTTTCGCTTGGATGATACCAACGTTTTTCTTTATTGTTATTGGATACACAAAGGCTTTATGGATCTTGAATATCGAGAGCCATTGGGAAAAAGTTTATCGAGACCAGTCACGGATGGATATGAAGCTGGATTTTGAATAGACCAGACGGGGGCCAATAACCCACCACATACCGCGCCTAACAACATCTGTTGGCGCAGAATTATACGTTCTACCTATGGGACACCGATCAGATACGGTGATCCTCTTGGGATCCTTTGGAGACAAAAATACGTCTATAGGTTCTCAACAAACCAATACAATGTTTTTGCGAGCAGTCGCAATAACCATCAAAATATGGCTAGCTTTTTTATAACTTGCGCACAAGTGACAGTGCTTCGTGATTGTTGTCCCTCAGGCATTATGAGAAGTCTCACTAAACTATTCGCTATTAAGGACCCTAGACTAACCATGTCATTGATGTCCAAGGGTCATCATATTCCTAGATAACTTTACTACTTATTACTGGTGAAATTCATTCTCACCTCAGCCCCATCCGAAACCCTTTTCTTAGAACAGCACGACAGCACGACAGCAAACCACCGAAAAACATCAACAACACGATTGATGATGATCATGAGAATATTGACATCTGCATCGTGAGTGACGGCTTCACGTTCGTTACGCTGATTGGGCGAAAGCTGCCGACGCCACTCGCCTTACTTTTGCCAGGGCAGGGCTTGCGAGTGTGCATCGACTTGCAGATTGCTCTGCTCTCATAATCACATTTATGCCGTCGATGCAACGCAAGCCTGCAAGCCTGCATTAGCCTTCTTTGGGTTCTACGGTCGTTTTCCCTAAGGTTGCGGAGCCAAGAGAAAAAAAAAAAACAGAGGAAGAGGTGTTCTCTCGAATCTCCTTCTCCGTTTCTTTCTCATTCCCCCCCGTTTTCCCCATTTTCCTACGGCGCCCCGACCGCCCTTCCTCTCATTTTCCCTCTGGCGCTTTTGTTATTTCGCTTCCCGCCTCGCCTCGTCTCGTCTCGCCTTCTAACCGGCCCCGTCCGCTATGAACCTACCTAAACTTACCTACCAGGTTAGGGCCCAGCCTTACGAAATTTGCTAATTTGACGAAAGCGATTAAACCCGTCGGACTTGTCGACTAGCCTTGGGCTTGGCGACTAAAACATCAGACCTAATAAATAACTTTTATTTTATTTTATTGTATTGTATTTTTATTACCTTAGGTACTGTTGTCGCTAATGTTGTTGTAAGCTGGCTAACCGCACTCGAGGGTTGCTTGGATCGGTACCTGGTCCCTCTCTCTCTCTCTCTCTGCCTGTCTCTTTTTCCCCTCTCTCCCTTTACTAACAGCCCATTCTATCATCTCATCTGCTGGGCTGCTACGTACTATGCACGATGGGAAATGGGATAGCATGGGATGGGCTGTGGACTTATGGTACGGCTCCCCGTTTTTAGGCGCAAAAGAGCCAGGCGCAGATCCTTGGTACTTGGAAAATTGTCACGATATGGGGCAGTCCAGTCCAGTCCAGTCTCATCATCACGCTACATACATACATACATACATAACATACATGTCTAGGTACCTACATTACATTATGGTACCCAGCCAATCCATCTCGGCTACTACACGGTTGGTTAAATGAAAGGGTAAGAATAATAAGAAGAAGAAGAAAAGATAGTAGCAGGGAGAAAAAAAAAACAGGAGCCCAGCCTTATTTGCCGTTGGACGCAGTGTTGCGCGTAAGTGTCAAAAGACGTGCAGTAGCTCGGGCGCGCTGCGCGACGCTTTCTCTTTCTCTTGTCTTCCATACATACTTGGATGATAAGTGGTGGAGAGAATGAGAATCTTGTTTACCTAGGTAGGTAGGTAGGTTAGGTAGGTAACGTAGAGGGTAGAGGGAAGAGGAAATATTGCGCCCTCTTCCGTAACATTGTAAAAGGTCATGATTTTCCTATGTTGCAGTGCATCTTCTCTTCTATACTCGACTCTGCCTAGCGCGCTCCCGGTGTTGGTGTGTGGGAAGGGAGTGGAAGTGCCTATGCAGCCCTTTTCTTTTCTTTTCTCTTATTCTTCTTTCTCATTTTCCTTGATTTCTCTCGCATTTTCCCTTTCGTCTCCCCTACCGTCTCGCCTTGAGCGAATCAGCATCAACGGGGTCCATGTCCCTAGTCCGAAATGCGTATGCAAGTCGATGGTTTGGGTATGGTGATGGGTCGGCTTCCCTTACTTCTACCTGGTGATTGGACCGATAGCCTGGGTTCACTGGCACATGGCGGTGAAAGGTCTTTGCTCCTCTCTCTGCCCTCTCTCTCTCTCATGTCTTCGTGCTTTGCGCTTGTGTCTCCCCCCCCCCGTCTTCCGCGTCCCAGATTCGATTCCTCGAGAACCCCTCCAAGGCTTCATCGCGACTGAGACCCACACATTTCTACCGTCCTCTCATCGAGAGGGCTGTGAGGGGTGATATTGGAAAGAGGTTTGATGAGATATGGGCGGAGATTGGATCGAAAGGTTCAAAAGCCTGCTTACGATCACTGTCACTGTGCCGCCTGCTTCCGAGTGGAGAGGCACAATCATTTCGTACAGACAATACTACATACACATGCTCACATATGCCAATGCTGATGCTGATGCTATTGCTATTGCTAATACTAACGAAAGACTCGATATTATGGAGTACATATAGAACGTACATACAGAACATACATTCGCAGAGGTCCTTAGGTTCGCATGGCGCAGGCACCAAAGGCGCTCTGCATAGTACTTGTCATGTTTATTTGCCAGGACATAGGCCAGACGCAACATATCATTGGTCAACTTTCTATTATGTACCCATATTGGGACGTCGTCTCGACCGCTACGTGTGAATGTGCTCCGTAACGCGTGCCTGACTAGGTAAGTAGGCTCAGGTAGACATCGTACGTATGTATGTAGAAGGTAATGGAGCCGGCGAGAACAAGAACCAGGACCCGAAAAATAATGCGCAAAAGCAAATCGGAGCGACGTTGCCGGTCCTGATCTCTACCCAGGTCGGTAGTCTCGCGGTTCGATGTTCGATGAGGGCATCGCCAACCCAAAAAGGTGGCTCGCAGCCTCCACACCGCAACCCGCTGTCAATATCTGGGTACCCGTAAGGTTTTACATATGTAGCTGGCTTTGACCCGAGGCTGGAACGAGCAGCAAGAGAAGTTAGGTAGTTCTAGTGTACATACATACGCCCACATGTGTGGGGGAGGAGGGGACATGCGCACGTAGTGACGTGGTCCCGTTCGATAAAGGGGGAATATTCTACTCATGATATTGGGGCGGTGCAAATCAAATCGCTCGATCTATGATCTCCCGGTCGTGATACCCATTGGACTGTTCATCTCCACAAAGAACAGTACGGTACAAGGGGAAAAAAAAAATCCACAGTCTACGTAGTCTTCGAGTCGTGGCACCTGATCCTGTTCAACTGCGTGTCATCTCGATGTCTCCTACGCTGGGGGGAACTACGGTACGCTAAAATAAGGACTGTCATTAGGGCTGTCCATGCGTTTTTGGGCCTCATCTTGCTACCTATGTATGTATGTATGTATGTAGGGAAAACATGGCTAGGGTTAGGGAACAAATCCTTTGGAAGCACGATTTATCGGAACGGGGACTATCTTCGAAATCGACCCTCATCAGGCGCCTGAAATCTCTTGTGATGCTATTGTGTCTTTGTCTTGGGAGAACACTCGACCTCCACACGTCCCAAAGTAGGCTATCATTCCCCACTGACAAGTCCTGATCTGGTCAAATACGTTCCTAGACAAGTAGTTAAGCGGCTCAGTCAACAGCAAGGGGCCTAATAATGATTGCGTGTCTCTTTAACCCAAGGTGCGGTGACTAGGTTATTTACATGACGCTTCAATAGAACTTTCTTAATGCCGTCCGGATTGTTGTGCATGCGTCCCCTCTAACCTAAGCGAAATCATGAGAGGCAATTCTATCAAGTCTTATTGGACCTTTCGATAAGTTCCCATGTAGAACTTGTAGTAAGCAGGGAATGTTAGGGTGTTCCACGGCATCCGCCTATGGTTGTAATATTTGTCTCAGCATTATTCATGCGTCTAGGCGATGGTGTCGTCGTGCCTTACAGGCTACGGCAATGAATAAGCGAACGACACGGCGGGAAAGGGTTGTCTTTCCCCCATCTTACAGCGCAGCGGACGCTAGGCTGGGTGCTGGGTTATGTTTCCGCTCCCCATGCCGATGCGGAGGCGGTGGAGTTGGGTAGCGGAGCCGGCGACACGGTCAAGATCATCGTGTCTTGATATTATTAGCGTGGCAACGTATAGTACAAGTCTTATAACCAGGCCGGGGAACTCTCCACGCCAATGGTCGCTTTTGTTTTTGGGAACACGAAGGCCATTGCGGCTCCGTGTGGGCTGGACATTGTTTCGGCATATTTCATCCAATCCGTATCTCATTTCACGAGCTATTTGACACATGGGCCTAGATCGCCATTCTGTTTTCGTGTCAGGCAGCGTTGAATTCGAGAAAGTAACAATCCTTCTCTCTCCCCCTGAAGGCGTTGGTCACGCGCCGAAGTGGAATTCTTATGGGTGAGACCGAGATGCACAACTGTGTGTCGGGTCGAAGCTCTGGACTTTCTCTGCCAACCATCTGGACTAAGGGATCAGTGGGATGGGTAAGACAGCTTTGCCGTTCATAGATTACCATATACTACCATCTCAGCCTGGTGGTTACATACGCGTGTCCTTCGTTGGGGCATCCCGAAACCTATCATGGTGTGTAGTACGCGCTGAGGCTGAGTGTCTTACAGTAGTCTTATCCGGTAAACTTCATGTATTGAAACTCATTGGTCCCAGCTATCAATCGCCCGAGGCTGCTGTAGAGCCACGTATGTAATAATCCTATGTCCCTTAAGGGTCATCAGTTGCCATCCGCCTAGCCATCCGCCCCTATCATCGTGACATCCGGACATAGCCCTGCGTCTGTTCGCCCGTTTAACTTTCCATACTTACGCGGTATTCCCTCAATATGTGAGACCAATATATGTCTTTGATGACGGGAGACACAACAACGTGACATACTATATTTGCTTATTCTTGTCTTGCTCTTCGCCCTTCGCCCTTCGGCTAAGACCCTACAATCAACGTGGCCCACTCAGGGTTCATCCATGTCTGGAACCGGAAAGATGGAGAACCCGGTATCATGAAGCAGGAGAGCAGTCTTGTTCATCACGTGAAAGACATGTGGATAGGAGGGCGTGAGTTGCCTTACGCTATCGACAGTAGGATTGACGATCGTGACAACAATATGGTTTAGAGTCCCATCTTTGCAGCATGCTCGATATCGATGTGCCGCTTCAGGCAACACAAATCGCGGAGTCTATTTTGGTTCCTGCGCGAACCGGTTCGCAAACAAGTCAGGCTCGGCTCCATAATCACTGGGTCCCTCGGGGGTGCCGGTATATGTAGCCACACTTCGACTAACAGCTCATTTGCTATGTGGGTTGGTAAAATAGTGTCTACTATCGGGCACTTCTTAATCGCATCTAGATTTGGCCTGAAGCTAAGACACTTAGCTCTCACGAGCCTCAAGCGGAATTCTCGGTGACCGTTTTCATCCCGTCATTCTCACACATCATCTCCGCGGGACTTCCCCCTAGCTTACTAACTATATCTTGTCCGTCAAGATGCCATGTGTACTGGTTCCAATTATTAATACGTTCCGGTCAGCGATTTATTGGAGACAGGCAAACAGGAGGCGCTGACACAAAATGAGAGTTTGCTATTAGAGTTGTCAAGTGACAACTCAAAAGCCTTAAAGTTTACCCCGTGGGCCTTCTTGTTAGTTGGCTTCGATACATACTATTACTGTGAGCGGTGAGTTTCGTGTTCGGAACGGTCTCGGATACTGTGGGTTCTGGTAATTCACAGTTGAGCTCACCGTAGTTATTACGCTACAGCTGTAGCTAGCTAGCATCACTCTAATGTCACTAGTGAAGGGGTACAGCATATGAATGAATGAATGAACTGGGCGAGTTATCAAGTGTTAGGCCAGCCTGTGTTAGGCTCGAGTCCCAGTGACCTATGCTGTACGGCAGTTATCTTGTTGTTAGTCCATTCTAGCGCCGTACCTCGTACGTGGATGTTTAATAACCTCTTAATACTATACATATTTACTGGAGACGTTACTTGGTTATTTGTCAGAACCATGATCTAGTTGTTTCTGGCGCTTCCGCTCGTAATTAGCTTAGGGTTGGGCAGAACATCTGGAAGAAATCTAACCATCGATGTATCAACCGTGGCCTCACTTTCCGCACTACTACAACCCAGTAAGATTAACTGACTCGCGCCGTCGTAAAACCGGCGGGAATGCTGCCGTCCCCTTATCCGAATAACGGATCGCTCGGTTCCCACTAATACGGTAGCAGACCCGCCGAGGCGCGGAACTATGCCTAGAGTCACGATTTGTGGCGGGCTTTAACTGGGCTGGTCTTACAAAGTCAGCTAACAGCGGAATACTACGAACACCAGTAAGGGCGTGTATTAGCTTTGCTGAAAGCTCACCGAACCTCGACCGAAAGAGAGCCGGTTTGAGGTGTATGTTCCACATTGCATACACGAAGCTTCTAACAGCCCTACGATCTTAGTATGAGACCATGACTCAAGATAGACTACTATAATGGGGCTATATCGAAGTGGGCATCAACAGAGCCTATCCTGCTACCGGCATTTCATAACTACCTAGCTTATTACGCAAGCACTCTGAGATTCGCGGTCACAAGTGGTTCTAGAACCCAGCACCAACAAGAAGAGCAGCGTATGTAAATAAGGGCGGGGGGGTGTTGAAGTATCAACAGATCTATAATAGAATAAGATAAAAATAATAATAATAAAACTACTAAACTATTGGTAACGATCTAAGTGGATCTGAGAGCGTCAGAAGGAAAATTAGCAACCCGGATATCGCCAGCGCCCCTAGATCCCTTCGCTCGGTCTTTCTTTTTCGCGTTCGACGTTCTCTTTCGTACAAGGAAAAACTCCTCCTCCACCAACACCCCGCCCCTTATTCAGTACCTAATATAGTAAGGAGTCCCCCACTCTCCGGCGTTGCTAGCGGTCGACTGCTGCGCCTCCGTCTAGTCGCTGACCTCGATGGGGCCGCCCGGGACTACGGGGTCGGGGGTGACCGGACCACCGGGGAAGCCCGGTAGAGGGAAGAAAGGGCCGCCGGGAACGTAGTCGTTGTCGACGACGCTTCGCTTGCCGGGTACGAAGGTAGTCGTGGTGCCGTCGGGAGACTGGATGATCTTAATGCCGTACTTGGTCAGGAGCTCGTCCTTGATAGAGGCAATGCGCTTGGCAACAGGCTTGGGTGGGTTTGTGCCGAAGTTGTGGATTAAAGCCTCATACTCGAGCTCTAGAGCCTTGATGTGTGCCTTAACAGGGTCAGAGCTGCCGTCGCCGATTCCGATCGTGTCCTGTCGCTTCTTCTTGTCGGAAGGGTCAAGACCGCCGGTGATAGGTGGGAGGATTATGACGGTGTCCTGGCGTTTCTTAGTCGACGGCTCTAGGCCTCCGGTAATGGGAGGTAGGAGAGTAAAGGTCGGCGGCGGCGGGCTGCCAGGTCCTGGGAGCCAGCCGTTCGGGTCGGGGACGACGAAATCCCTCTGCTCCGTGGTCTTCGACGGCTCGGAGATTGGGGCTGCGGAGGCCAAAGCCGCGAGGGCTAGGGCAGTAATGCCAACACGGTACATGGCGAACTGCTTTTCTTAGCGAAGATTAAGGTATTAATCTCAGCTGATATGCTGTGATGTATGTATATCTAGATGATTAAATATTTAATGTCGTTGCGATGTTGCTGTCGTTTGTTTGATATTCTCAAAACATGCCCTGATCGTCGCCGTCGTCACCCACATTTATACAAAGGCCTCCCAGGCAATTCGTCATAACCCCCCTCCTCCGCGAAAGATAAGAAGAGTCTAGTCATTCCCTGGAAACAAGGTTAAGTTCATTTATTGTTAATATCGATATATTGGAGCTACGGCGCGGCTGGGCCTTAGATAACACAATATACCCGGGGTGAAGGGGATTTTAACCGGGTCGAGTCCTTCTACCTAACGAACCACCCACGAACCACGTATGGGAAGACATTTTCATGACGCTTTTTAAATCTGCCTTTGCCGCTCATCCGCTTATCTCGCTGAGAGCCGTAAATCATGGGAAAAGGGCGAATTGTGGTCATATCTCTTTCGGCTCGGGCGTAGGCTGATGTCGCCAGAAAGGAGATATCATCGCGGAATATGCGCTAGACTTGGGCTTTCAAAAAAGCATTCGAATGTTCAAATGAGCCGGGACCTGAGACGATGACGCTCATCGATGGCTCGAGATTCTCTATTTTTGGAAATGACAACTTCTAGAACTCGTCCTGGTTGAGTGTTTAGACTCTTTCGCTTATGTGAAGTTATCCATCAAGCAATATAACCAACGGCTCCGACCCAAGCTACTGTGTTATGCAGTAGCATAGCAGGTGGATTCGAGATAGTCGTCGCTATGTAGGGGAACATCGTCGAAGTGTCACGATATGTTTAGCATCATGCAGGGGACTAGCAAGATTGACAGGACCGAGAATCTGGAAACATCTGGACAAGTCCTCGAGCCGGGGATTGAAGGAAAACTTTACTGTACTCCGGAAGCAGAATCGGGAGACTGGCCGTTCGAGGCTGGTCTGATAGGGAATATTCAAGGTTACTTGGGCCTAATGGTCGAGGGTCACGCCATTAGATCAATGGTTGGTATAAGACTTCGTCGCCGCATTGGGGTTGGGAGATGGTAGCTCGTCCCGAGAACTCTACTTCGGGAAAATACGATATGCCAGAAATAGATCCAGCGTGACATCGTCTATTTCCAGGGTCCAACCCTTTTTTTGGAGAACCGATTTTTGAAGCTTTTCACCAAAGCTTGTAAAAGCCCATTCGCAATTTCAAACGAAATACCACTTGTCAAGTGACGCAACTCTTAGGATAGGTAGTATATTGCTGACATGCGGGGAGCCGCAATCCGTCTGCGAATGCAGTACGACATGGTGAGACTAGGATCGCTGTATAGCACCGTACGTAAATAGCACGGAGACCGCCAACAAGTAGGCAAGCGGCCGCCCATCGAACGATATAGATCAGATCGAGCACCGGTATCCAATCGCCGTTTGATCTCCCTCGTGGCTTTCGACAGTCTAGAGTGAAATCGTCGTAAGCTTGACATCAGGTTCGGTGATCCGGGTATGCCCACCTGTCTCTCGATGGTAGAGTGAATGGCCGACTAAGAATCTAGATCGCGTCGCATTCCATCCGGCTGGGGACGGAGCTCAGATGGATTCCTCCTTTCGGAGCGTCTTAGGACTTGTGTGGCATTGGACGGTTCCAGCTCACTACGGACGTCTACTGGAGCACCCCGGCGAATGCTTACATAGAAAAAACGCCGACTTGAGGCCTAGCGAGTAGCACCGAGCGCCGCAATAGGTTGCTTACACATGCCTCGAACCCCCCCTCCAAGCTTCGAGCCATCACGTCACTGGTACCAAACCAGATCTTGCGAGTTAGTAATGAATTCATCCGCTATCCTACCTTGGCTTCGGCTACCCAAGCCCTGTCAACCCGTGCTTGCGAGCTGCAGTATAGCACACTACCACGAGCTATTGATAGCGTCAGCATCTCCATAGATTAAGGTAGTTATCCAACTCGAACTGTTCTTTCTTTCCCATGGCCGTGGGAAAGGGGAGTAGAAGAGCTAGATTCAAGTCTGTTCTAAATATGGACGACAAGGGTCTATTGTCGTAGGGTCTACCAGTTGTTTTCATTTTCAGACGGGCCCAGAACTAAACCTAATGCTTTTATTATTTCTTAGGTCGTGATGAAAATAGCGGATGATTAAATTGTGAGGTGTAGCTGGATTTCTTTTAAAATAGTTAACGCATATCTATATATCTCGTTGTAATAAGCCTAGACTATAATATTCAAGTTTGAACATCTTTAGTAGCCATATATTTCTTTTCTAGTCTAGGGTATCTCATGGTAGTCTTGCTTATTCTAGCTCTTGTAGTATCTCCTATTCTTCGGGAGGTCCTTGAGTAACTAGTAAAAGCAGTACGAACAGTTTCATGCTTTAAGTTTGGATTGGTACTAGAAACCAAGCATAAACGAACATTCATGAGTTAAGCTCGTCATTACCGGCGGATTTCATCGTTAGATCCTTGAGTAAGGTTGGATCGTTACCTTGTAATTAATATCATTTTCATCGTATTCTCTCTATCTACCTGTGTAGGTTAACTTTGATACCTACTACTTTTTGAAAAGCTAAGCTAGCAAGGAATGCCTCTGCTCGGATAAAGGGGTATGCCGGTGCACGCAGACCATAGAGGAGCGAATAGAGCCTCGCCATGGGACATTTATCTGCCGGCTCTCTATTACTACTACTATTACGATGATAAGCAAGCTGTGACGGTTATATATTGTGACCTTGGCGATCACTCCGAGAGAAAGGCCATAGTGAGCCTTTCACTAGGTGTATAGTGTATTTTTCGGCCTAGTCTCAAGGAAGAATATCTTGTATCCATCTTGTATGTCCCGGCAGGACCCCTATAGAGCACCGAACGAGAAAGCCCTAGTACCTGAAACTTTATCACAGGCAGCCACCCCGGGGCAGGGACTGAATCGGCCGGTTCCGCAAGACTTTTCAGGACCACTACCTTGCCATTACTTTGATTAGGTTTTCTACAAATTTTATCATGAGCCGAGCGAATCTTGTTCGAATTGCGTATCGAGCCTCCCATAAACTCTTCCATTTGTATTTTTGTTCATACACTCGGTCCATGGGTAATGAGATAGTGGCTTGAGTAGCACCGTGTCTTGCATCCGACTTGTCATAGGTAACCAAGCGCGGATGAGTATCGACGTTACTCGTAAGCGGGGATATATTATCGCCACCGGTAGATATCAGCTCTAGTATTTATGGTAGAATCGTGGTGTTACCTTGTTTCCCTTTAGATTTGGTCTCGAAAATGGCACTTTCGATGAAGGTGTTGTGACGCATCCTGTCAAGTAAGGGGTCTTGGCATTTAGTTTCTGATCGAAATCGTCTAAGGGAGAACCCATTAGAACGCCTTCAAGAAATCTGCTGCCGTTGGTCCGAATATAGGCGGAAGTGACGCGTCTGTTTCTAGACACATATGTTCTGGTTTTGGAATAGTGCCTAACTCTATACATGTAGCGGCCCTACTCGAGTCTCCGTTGAAGCGGCAGATGGCCAAATCCATGCTCTCGACGAGGGAGCATCGCGTTTAAAGTCGAGAGATGCCTTACACCGCACGTAGTGATATATTTTTGTCTTTGTCAGGATATCATGAGATTCCATTGCTAGGTTCCTAGGTTCTGCATCAGAATATGCCTTGTGCCTGCTAGGAGTATCTTTACTCACTTCACTACACCGTTAATTTTAAGGGCCAATGGAGCATCGAAGCCGTTAGCATGCCATAGGGGTCTAGAAGCCACTTTTGGGGGGTTCCTCACAGTAGTAAAGTTTCGAATAGCTTGAAGCGGCCGCTCAATACCGTCCACAATGAGCTTGATGGGACAGAAGAGGAAGGTGACAGTAGGAGTTCAGGGGCATACGAGGCCCAGAAAGCCATGATAAAGGTCTCTAGGCACGTGAAATATTGACTTTAAAATAGAGCTCTTTGACAGGATATAGGTAGTCATTTTTATCCCTATATTTGTTGCTGTCGTTTAATTCTCCTAGTCAATCCAATATAGGAGACCTGTCAAAGAATGAACACAAATGACACACTAAATCAATACTAGGTATTCCATAAAATAGATCAATACCAATTCGCCTGAGTTCATCTATTAGAAATGATAGTTTCTTAATCAACTATATATTTTATTGTCGCACAATAGAAACCTCAAGTTGTTTGATATAAGACGTGCCCCTATTATTTACACCTATATGGCCCGTGCACTACCCTGGGTCCCCGCCAAAAAAAAAAAGTTTGTAGGAACTGAAATAGTTCTGCTAATAAGACCATGACGTCGCACCTAGTTACTACAACAATTTCCTAGGTAGGCCAAGGGAGCTTCCAAGTCTACGAACCATGGTCTCCAGTTCGACCTCCGCTCTTCGCCGGGCTTTGCTCTACGGTAAGAAATATATACCCCTACCTGATATCCAAGTCTTCTCCCGTCTCTAACCGATAGCACAGTCCCAGCGTCCTCAACACGAATGCTAACCAAATCCCTCGGTCTCACCTGCGACACCATCATCTACGACCTCGAGGACTCGGTGACGCCCGACGCAAAGACCGAAGCTCGCGATGCCCTCAACCAGCACTTATCTCGATTATCTGCGCTACCGCCCTCCGTCTCCGAGATCGCCATCCGCGTCAACCGCGCCGGATCTTCCTTTCTAGAGAAAGACCTCAAGCTTGCCGCGTCGATCCCTCTCGTTGACACCGTCGTCGTGCCCAAAGTCAACACCATCGGGGACTTGAGGGCTGTCTCCCACGTGTTGAAGAACTTCGAGAACAAAAGCTACAAAGAGATACGCAATAAGCCCATAAGGGTTATAGCCATGATCGAGTCGGCACGCGCTATAATGAACATCTCGTCGATTATTAGAGGCCCGCGCCTCAACGGCCTAATGTTTGCGGCTGAGGACTTTGCCCTCGACTTGTCGCTCACGCGGACGCCGGATTTGACCGAGTTCTTATATGCGCGGTCTGCCATGGTGACAGCCGCCCGCGTTGAGAACATCCCTAGTGTAATAGATTTGGTATGCACATCATATCAAGGGAAGGAGGGGCTAACGCGGCTAGAGGAAGAATGCCGGGGCGGAAAGGCCATGGGATTCAATGGCAAGCAGTGCATTCATCCTTCGCAGGTCGAGACGGTGCAGCGACTCTTCTCTCCCTCCAAGAAGGAGGTTGAGTGGGCTGTCAGGATCACCGTAGCGAACAAGAAAGCCGCGGCTGAGAAAAGAGGGGCTTGGACCCTGGATGGTAAAATGATTGATGCCCCTGTTTTCGGTAGGGCGGTAGAAATAGTTGAAAAGGCGCGAAAATGTGGCATGGATGTTGATGGACTACGAGAAAAATGGAAAGATCAAGAGCCTGAATAGACCACCTATGAATATTAAACCTTGAAAAAAGATGTGAGTACACATTGCGATATGGTACTAATATATTGGCGTATAGTATTTATCAGAATCGAGAGAACTGATTTGGACGCCAGAAGCTTGACATTTCAAAACTCTCATCCTCAAATTCTTCCAACGGTTGTGTGATACCAGGCAACATCCTAGGAGTACCAATCCTGTGCTGGGTATACGGCGCCGCAATATCTAAACCCTCTTCGCATAGCTCAGTTGTCCTCGGCCTTCTTAGATCAAAATAATCAGGATCGAAATTAGAAGGTAAGTTGAGAGGTGTCTCCTTTTCCGTATTGTAAACCATGGGCTGCTCGTGGGATAGTCCCGTATCGAGCGAAGATGGGTCTAACGCTTTCTCCTCTAATCCTAGAATATCATTACTGTGGGGAGGGAGTTGCCACTGTGACTCGTTCTCTATTCTGGCGATAAATTCGGCCATAGTCTCAAGTTCTTGTGATACCGCAAAGTCTCCCTGGTACGAGCCTCTACTTAACCTCCCTTCATCTTCATTGGCATAAGTAGGCGGAGTTGCGTTTGATTGTAACAAGGTGACCTCTCCTAATATGGGGGCTGACGGCCCCCTTTGAGGTATCCAGGGAACGCTATTAGAAGTTAACAGGGTATGTCCATTATTGGCGACCGACTCATACAGCAAAGCCTGGCTACAACTCTCGAGGGATTCCTGGGAGTCTTGTATATCTTTGTCGTGATCTATTACATGAGTGATGTGTGAAAATTCTAAATTAGCTGGAGTCGCATTCTGACTTGGTGTACTAAATTCTACGTCGGCGCGGGGTACAGTAATGGAGGCGTTTCTACTATACGGCATAGACGGGGGAGGCATTGCATCCCTGGAAGCTACAGATGCTTCATCGCTTGCCTGCTGTTTCCGTCTCTCTAGGTTTTGGTCTATACGGATAGCCGCCGTCTCGGGGATTTGGTGGATAATGTCAGGCTTGCTATCTAAGCTACGCGGAATCTCAACAGGTTGCCTTGAACTACCCCCCTCGATAGGAGCTAGACGAACTTCTCTAACAATTTGCTCACGGTTAACATCATTGGATATATGCGGGATGTGCAAATTTGCCTCTCCTTGAGACTTAGACGCATGACGGTCTTCTGTTATTTGGATGGCTTCTGCTGACTCTAAGAATTTATAAGGATCTTCAGTCATTATAGCTTGATCTCGATATTTAACCTTGCGAGATCTATTAGAACCTTGATGAGTATTGTGATGAGCGTCCTCCGATTCAATGTGGCGAACGTCATATGGTTCCGTCTCGATCGTCTTTCTTACTGTACTCGGCCCAGTTGAATGATCGTCGTATGAAGACATTCTAGTATTACCGTATACTCCTGTCGTTATTGGATTTACTCTCATTGGTTCTGATATAGTTGTTCGAATCGAACCTGACACATTTGGGCTGGAATGATTGTCCCTTTCATTAATACGCGGCGAGTGGCGACTACTGGACCATGTTAAATATGTCGTGTCTCTGCCTGCGTCGTTTTCATCTAGGATTGATCCAGGGGAATCCGGTCTGACGGGATTGACGGTCTCATCCTGAGCTCGGAATGTGCGGTTATGCTTAGCATATCCATGATGGCTCGGAGGCGACGACCCAGGAGGTTTTCTACCACGGATAGGCGTGAGTTGTTCAAAGCGATGCCTCGCTTCCCGGTATTTTCTACTGGTATCCGGCTTATGAGGTCTTAATCCAGGAGTACCTCTATCGGCTTTGTGTGATAGGAAAAAGGTCGATACTTCTTCCATTTCTCGGTCTTCTCGACGTTTCTCCTCAGGCGGGACTTAGATGATACTTTTGGTTGAACGTGTCTATTCTGGCGCTTTAGGAACTGCATGTCAGAGAAGGTTAAATCAGATACTGTTTGCTATTAGGTTCTATCAAATAAATTATTATTTTTTGGAGCGTATCCTTACTTGGTTGTTTTTTCGATGCCCTTCCATTGTCAAATAGACCAGGCTTTAAATGTGGTTGGACCTAAGCGTAATTTAGACCAATATCACTTACATGCGACGGAGTTCTTACCGTGATGCGGTCATTGAGGACAGCATTGGAAGTGAAGTTATTCATTACGTTTTTGCTAGATGCCATGGACTTTCTCTTTTCGACCTTCTTGCGCTTTTTACTCCGGCGATTGCTATGGTCTACGGCGCTTCCCTCTTCGGGATTTCGGTTTCTTTTCTTCGTTTCATACTTGTCTTCCCTGGTCTTTCTCCTGGGCCTTTTCTCGAAGTTCGGCCGTTCATCCGCACGAGAAGTGGTCGACGAAGCATCGAGATGCACCAAATCCGCGTCTCTTGGGGCTCTGGCAGTTAGAGTGTCCACATGACCCCCTTGAGCGGAGCCAGGGGTATAGCTAGGAGGCTTCGTAGTATTCTCAAAGCCACTGATAAACGAACTATCACTAGGGACCGCCCGCCTTCGCGTAGACTTTCTCGCATCCTTTGGACCCGAAGTCTCCAACGGAGAGTCTAATTGGTGCATATAATGACTAGGAAAGTCGTGACGAGGACTCCATCTCGGATCTACACGCCTAGGGCGTTTATTGTATGGGGACGTCGCATCAAGTGGTCTATACGGGGAGCTATTGTCTAGGATTTCTTTTCGATATCCTTGTGACGTACTGGGCCAGGGGTGAGGATCTGGCCTCGCCGTCTGTTCTAGCCAGTCTTCAACAATGTCATAGCGTGGCTGCGGCTGCGACGCGCTATTCGACCCTACTAGAATCGAGTTGTCCTTGTGGGGTTGGCGTGGCCGTTTCAGACGTGATCTATTATTGGGCATTTCGTACGAGTTGTTTCCGTCAACGCGGCCGATTATAGCGACAGCGATGATGTGAAGAATGACTCCGAATAGCTTATCTCAAAGTGTGAGTTGAAACAGCAAAAGGCTCCTGAGACGAAGCAAAGACATTACGTCAAAATGGTAGGTCTACATATTGTAAGCCTAGGATATATCCGTAGTGTGGTAGATCATATTCTAAGCCATGGTTAAAGCAACTTTAGACGAGACGAGATGCGTGGGGATTAGGTTGTATTGTCGGCACGACGGTTGGAATATCCCAGGGCTACGGAACCTAAGACTTAGCTCAAGTTCAAGTTTATGCAAGTAATATTATCTATAAATTACTAAGCGCATACCTTGTCTAGGTACTTACATAAGTAAGGCGAGGCATGTGCATATTATACATTATACATATCAGTAAGAAGGAGCTACTTCTTCACGTGGGGTTTGAGGTTATTACCTCCTGGATTTTCACTCCTAGTGTAAGTCGTGTAGGCATTACCAGTATGTACTTTTCATGCATGTATCAACTAACCCCATGTAGGTACACGTGCGTACCTAATTAAATCCAACGATGTACATACATTGAGGGATATATTGAAGTATGTAAAAGATTGGTAGAGACATGTATTAGCTATGCGAGTGTGGATGGAGATGCATACATGTGGGTAGCTTGATACTCCGTCGGAACCGAGACCCAGCGGTCCAGATGCTTGCTAATATTTTTTTTTTTTTTTGGTTGGTACCGAATTTCAAATCTTTTGAAATCTATGTAAGTAGGTAGGTACATAATATATTCAATCTACGTGAGAGATATCTATAATCTATAATTAGAACCCGGGCGGGATCAGCGCTTGCTCTTACTTGGCAAGTTTTCATCATTGATCTAGCCTGGATTTTCATCGTCGTCATAGGTTTTCATAAGTGCTAAAAATGTTACGTGAAAATTAATGGTTGATGCGTGCGTGGTGTAAGAGCCGCATGCGATGTCAGCGTCGTGTCGTGCATTGTGGGTAGTAATATTGTTGTTAAAGACCAAGCTTCAATCCCAAGACGTCTGAGAAACCTTGCCAAGAAGGCCCCTGATTGCCCCTGGATTGGGAGTTGGACATCTCAACCCGACTAGTCTGATTGGTCTGTGCAACCCCGCAACGTTCAGGTACGCCTTATATGTACTTATTTTAGGTACCACTACTACCACTAATACCACTACCACATCACTGCAGGTGTCCAAGACCTCAATACAGGTTAGGTATACTAAAGAATTGGAAACTCCAAACTTTCACATCTTGGCAACTCTGATATTACCTACCTCCAACATACCTCTTAAACATACTTACTTCAATTGATACCACATGTCAAGCGTCTACTTTCTCCCTGAACACTAGGGTTTAGTGATTGCTGATAAACTTCTTCTTCCAGCTTAGGTCCAACGCGTTTCATTACCCTGTGTTTGTATTCTACCCAAGGTCCCCCGAGTCAAGGGATGGATATTCGGAGCGCCAGCCGGCCCCATTAACAGGCCGCGCTAAACGATATGTACAATTACATACAGCCTTACGCATCTTGTAGACTACCTATCTATTACCTGTAAGTCTTCTTCCCAAGTGGATTCGGCATTTGGATCAAAATTGCTCAATGATCGACTGCGACCTCCACGGCTGCATACAACGTCGCATCCCATACGAACAAGCCTTTGGGCACGCGGAACGCATCTTGTATCGAATCTGACCCGAAATGCCTCTGCTATCGGGTTCCTATTTGTTATAGTCGTTGGTTACTATCGTTTTCCGTCTACCTGCCTTAACCGCATGTCATATCCCACATTCCATACTACCCTATCATCTATCATGGGCTTACAGTTTACCCTTTACGAGCAACCGAGACGTGTCCATATAGTGTATATAGCACATACTAAAGGCATTATTCTTTAGCTATCTCACCACAGGATAACTTTATATATGGCATCAAGCTCTCTCACCAAAAAAATAATATCAAGTCATAAAGACTGAGAGTATACGACAACATCACCCAAGGGCCGAGTATAACGATTGAGGACAATTATGTGGGTTCTAGTCAGATAAAATGCACAAAAACAGAGCGTATATCCCAGGATATGGTATTTCGACGTTTCACTTTCGACCACAACTAAATGCAGCACATTTTCATCCTAGTCCGTCTCGAATCGTACCAGGATAATCGGTGTCTCTGGGCTGGCTCTTTTCGGAGCTCTGCCGTGTTGCAATGTCTCGAGGTACTTCAATGGGCTTAACTAATATACCCACCATCTTAGAAAGCAGCGTAGTTTGTATTTTTCGTACGATAATCTTCAGCACTAACGCAGGGTCTAGCCTTGTGGATAAGTAGGCCCCTCGGGAGACTATGGAGAGGCGCTATGTTCTCTCGCATTACTTAGCCAAGCAAATAAGACTTCCTGTTTTGAACTGACGTCCTACGGCGATTGGTCGATCACAGACGTCAGGGGTCCAAAAATGGCACCCCTGTGTGATTGGATATCGCGCTTTTCCTCATATTCTTCGAGCTCGTTACAGCTATTTCAGGCCCAGCAAGTTTTAACGAAAAACTATTCCCATAGGGCCCGAAAATCATAGGCTAGAGAGAGATGGCGAACGGACTATAGCTTTCTTTTTTTAGCCCCCAGACAAGGATCACGAAACTCTAGTATTCACTATTCACTACCTAAACTAACGGACGTGGGACCTTGACAACTACGATCGGCCGTACTTAAACGAGAACAGGTAGATGTGGAGTATAGGTATCCTACCTAGGTAGTCGGAGTAGATGCTTCGCAGATCGTTCTCGAAGCCGACACGCCTCCTTCAACTGCATTATGTCGAGCAACTTAGGCCACACGAAGCAAGCATACCGCTGATTACTGGCATTCCATTTTAGGATAAAGCCGACTTAGCAGCTTGTCTGGCACATGTAATTTGTACCGCGTGGAGTCTCATGCCCTCTCCTTAGGGCAATTCGAGGTCACTTGCACCTCCTCTGTTTGATGCTTGTTTTGAAGCTATCCCTGCTGGCTCCCTCTTTTCTTCTCTTTGCTGGTGGTGGGTATAGGCTTGTTGAGTATTGCGGTCTGACAGTCTTTGCCTAGGGGGTAAATATAATATATTGTATAAAATCAGGCGGCCTCGAGTACATAGATATCCTTCATTCCTCGTTCAAGCCAACAGATACTGGTCGATTTGTCACTAGAACGCCTTCGAGTTACTTTACCAACTTTACCAACTTTTATAATCCTTGCCTATCCGGTCACCTGGATCTTACATTTCGTACATACATTATTAACCCTGCCGTCTTTACTGTACCGAAATACTAAAATACCAAAATACTTTTTCACTTATTTACCCTTGCGTCTATCAGATACCTACGTCACTTAGGCCCCAGCATCTGCAGACCTTCCGGCACTGGTTACTGGTCAAGTTTGCAAGTCAAAAAATAAAAGCAACAACGATTTGTACGATTGCTGCTTAGGATTCTAAAAGAACGTTCGTGCATCTCTCCCACATCCCGCCCCTGCTTCCCGTACAATTAGTGGACCCAGTAGTTCTTTCCTCCCTTGCTGTTATCTCGCAGATTGTTCCTCTCATTTTGTTTGGACAATAAATAATGGTAGCCTCACGTATCTTAGGTACATGTATATGTGTGCCAGCAATCACTACCTCTACACATACTCGTGTACTTTTAACTTTTACTTCAACCGATCCGATCCGCACATCATTATTACGGGTCGATTATTAACCTTATTTAATACAGATCTACCTTTTTGAATCGATATCTTCAGTCAGCAATAATGTCGAAGCTATTCATCGGGTATAGTAAAACAGAGTTCCCATTTATTGTTTACTTGGCTAATCGAAATGTTTCCCTATATTTAGTGGGCTTGCATGGCCACTGAGGATGCCACGCTCAGACAGAAGTTTGAAGAATTCGGTCCCGTTGAGGAAGCGGTATGTGGTCCTATTATCATCTCCATTTGGCACTCATACTATATTCGATATGGGAGTCTGGAAACTGTACCGATACTTTGATTCAGGACTAACTGAGCTAATAATAGGTTCGTCGTCAAAGATCGCGACACTGGCCGAAGCAGAGGCTTTGGATTTGTCCGATATGTGAACGAGGAAGATGCACAGAAAGCTATTGCGGGCATGAACAACGTCGAGTAAGGTGCTGCCTCCCATTATTTCGGGGATTTATCTAACCGAACAAATTAGATTTGATGGACGATCTATCCGTGTCGATAGAGCATCTGATACTGGTCCTCGGGGAGGTAGCGGACGGGGTGGCGGATACCCGCCTAGGGGTGGGTACATGCAGCAACCTCAGATGCCCTATGCCGCTGGTCAGCCGGTTGCGTACGGGATGCCGAACCAGGTAATGTACCAACCGGCCTACGGACGCGGAGCAGGCTACCCGCAGCCTAGTTACGGAACACCCCGCCTCAAGGTAAACACACAAGCCCCCTTAGAATGTTTTAATTTAAATTAGCACATGTTTAAACTGACCAAATCTTATAGGTTATGCGCCCTACGGCTATCCGGACCAACAGCAAGCAGGTCAACAGCCTCAACATCAACATCAACAGCAACCGCCTCAGGGGCAGCCGCCGTACCAGTAGAACTCCTATGAGCGACACAGGGGGGTTTCGATCCAAATCCCAACACCAACATTATGCAGAGTTGGCATCTACTAGAAAATTGGCCCAAAAGGCACGCTCGTTATCGGTGAAATTGGCGCATGGAGGTCTGATGTTCCCACAACACCTTGACACTCCTTATGCACAACACGACCAAAGTGGTACTCCCCATTTGTCACCATTTCATTAAGTCATCCTCAACTATCGAGTCTCTATATCTGAGACTGGAGGATTACAGTGAGACATACTCACTAATGTACATACATTCGTTCGCCATCTTCTATTCCAGGCTCTGGCCCTTATGATTAACGTGAATATCCACGTCATCTATCATTTACGAGTCTACGAAGGACTAAAGAAAAAAAAGAAAAAGAAATGGGAGAACTACTTAAGGATTAAGAGTTCGACCTTCTCAAGAAGAAATCGTCATGAAGTCGATCTCGGAGGGGGATAGAGGAAGGCAAAGCCGGGAACAAACTGTAGCAATAGTGCTCAGATCAATCGACATGATTTCCAATGCCTTTCTCTCTTAAACTTCTTGACCTAAGTGCCTAACGTAATTCTCTACCTTGGGACCTAATGTTTACAACACCTCTTCTCCCCTGTAAGATAAGTACCATTCACGCCTTCTCCGTCTCTTCCTGCTCATCTACGCTGCTCACTTTTCTAAACTCGTGTGAGACGGGGTGTTCGAAGCCTTCCACCTGCAACTGGCCCTCGCGGCGCTTGCGGTCAATCTCGCGCACGCGATCCGACAAATCTGTGACGTGAGCATCACCACTCTCCGGACTTAGTTCGTTGAGGGCCTTCTCCAGACCCAACAGGTAGTCTCTGTTCAGACCGCTGGGACCTTCACTGACGTAGATGTGCTCGGCAAGGACCTGCGGGTCTTGCGGTCCGGTGAATTGATCATTATCGGGGGTGCCGATGTAGATAGAGTGCGGATGGATGGCGACCCGTCCGCAGGATGGAAGGGCGTATAGTGGATCGTATATCCGTTGATCTCCCGGATGTCGAGGTACTCCTTTACCTCGGCTACCTTGTCCGCTTGGATTCGGTATGCGGTGCCCCATACCTTCTCGGGTGCTGAGTCATGCGCATCGACGAGGGTGCCCAGGATGACCGTTCGATAAGAGTGACGACGCGGCCGGGAGCTTCAGGTGTGCCGCGGTGATCTTGACTGGAAATTACGTTGATGTTAGAGGGTGATGATATAATCCACATGTATTGAACTCGCTGGCCCTTATCGTCACCGTACATCTACACCGGGTTGCCTCGACTTAATCTCTAGAGAAGACTAAGCTTACCTTGCCTAAAGGTATGTCAGCTATATACTTTTCAGCTAAGCAAAGTGAAGGAATCTATACCTGCCAGAACGCCTCACATAGCCTGTGACCCAGCCGGGTATCCGTCGATCTACCAGAAAGCTTCGGTGAGTTTCGGCCTTGGACAGTATGTTGACGTAGAGGAAGTGAACAGCGAACTGCTTCAGTATAAGATCTTACCATAGTGCGGAGGGGGTTTCCATATCAAGCTTCTACAATTCTATAAGTAAGGTTAAGCTACAAAGCTAGGGAAGCATCCGAAAGGATAACGCACCCATAACCGAAGATCCAGAATTCGTCCGTTTCAGGCGGCGCTCCGTTGACTGACATCGTTGATATTTAGGTCAAGCTTCCTCTCTTTCTTTTTATAATTCACGCACGCTTGCTTGAGTTTGTCTATCAATCTAAAAAGGGTAGTTAGTAATGGCTTTAACAAAGCTCTCCAATTAGCATAAAGGCTGCTCTATCCGTAAATAAGAGTCATCGTCGTTCAATTTGACGGAAGTCGGAAATGGTACAATAATGCCAAGCTTTTTCGTCTTTTACGGCTTTCTAAGCCATCGGGACTGCCGTCTTTTGCGGGCGCGGCTCCGGCCAACGGAGCATGTGTTACACAGTATCAACACCATACCTAATCTTACATATCCCTTGGCTGGTATAAGACAACAACCCCCCCTAACGGTACAGACAAAGGAGCCCACAACATACGAATAAACCGACGGGAGGGAAAGGGAAGGCGGGAGGAAGGAAAAACCGGGGACAAGGAACAAGACAAAAAAAGAGGAAGGGAAGGGGGGGGAAAGGGGAGAGGGGGGGAAAAAAGAGCAGGGGGGGAAAAGAACCGGAAAGGAGAACAGGGGAAGAACGGAGGGGGAAGGGAGGGGGGACGGAAGAGGAGGAGGGGGAACGGGGAGGAAGAACCAAAGAACGGGGGAAAAGGGGAGAGAGGAAGAGACGGGGGAAGGGAACGGAAGGAGGAGAGAAAAGAAGAAAAGAAACGGGAGAAGGAAAGAAGGGAAAAACCGAGAGAAAGGGGAAGAGAAAGAGAGAGGGGAAAGGGGGAAGAGGGGAAAGGAGAAACCGGAAGAGGAAAAGGGGGAAGAGGGAAACAAGGGAGGGAAAGAGGGAGGGGGAAAGAACGGAGGAAAAAAGAAAGGAGAGAGAGGAAGAAAGAAAAAGGGAACGGCAAGAGGGAAAAAAAACGGGAGAGAGAAGGAGAAAAGAAGAGAAGAGGACGAGGAAGAAAAGGGAGGGGGGGGAGGGAGGAGGAGGGGAGAGAGGACAGGAGGCGAAAAAAAAAAGGAAAACAGAGGAAGAGAAGAAAGGAGAGAAACGGGCAGGAGGGGGGAGAGAAGAGAGGAACGGACAGCAAGGGGAAACCGGAAAACAAAAGGGGAGGACAATGAAGGACGGGGAAGAAAAGAAAAGGAGGGAAAGAAAGGAAGAAAGAAAGGAAGGGGAGAGAAAAAACAGGGGGAAAAAGAGAAACGGCGAAAGGGGACAGAGGAAGGAAGAAAGGAAGGGGACAGGGGGGAGAACAAAAGGAACAAAGGAGGACAAGGGGGAGAAAAGCGAAGGGAAGGAAAGGGAAAGGGGAAACGAGGAGGAAAGCAAGGAGAGAGGAAAAGGGGGGGAACAGAGGGGAAAGGAAAGGCAAAGAGAGAAGGGGAGGAAAGAGGAGAAGAAGGAAGGGGAAGAAAAGGAAGCAAGAAGGAAGAAGAAGGGGGGGAAGAGGACGGAAGAGAGAAGGAGAACGTAGGAAGAAGGGAGGGAAAAGAGGGAAGACCGGGGGGGGAGAGAGGGGGAGGAAGAAGGGGGAGAAAGGGGAAGGAGGGAAAGAAGGAGAGAGAGAAAAGAGGAGAAGGAGGAAAAGAGAGGGAAAAAGAGAAAAAGGGGAGGAGAAGAAGAGAAAGAGAGAAAACGTGAAAGAGAAGAAGGGGGGGAAAGAAGGAACCGGAACAAGGAAAGAAAGGAAAAGGAGAGAAGACAAGAACGGGGGGAGGAAGGGGGGAAGGGAAGAGGGGAAAGGGGGAAGGAGAGGGGGAAAAGGAGGGAGAAGACCAAAAGAGAGAGTAAAAAGAAGACGAAAAAGAGGAACGGGGAAGAGAAAAAAAGCGGAAGAGGGGAGGAAGTAGAAAGAAAAAGAGGAGATAAATAAGGGTAAGAGAACAAGGAAAGAAAAGGATGAGAGAAATAAATCATTATGGTTATCGAAACTTTAAAAGTGTGTATAGTTTAACTTTTTAGAAGTAATTTTAATTAATATTTATTTATAAAAAAAAAGATATTTAAAAAAAATTAATTAAATCTTTAAAAAACTAAATAAATATATATTAAAAATAGGGATAAAAAAATACGGATTAATATTAAAATTATAAAAAAAACTTAAAAACAACGTTAAAAAAATAATATACAAATATTGTAAAATATTACCAAAAAAAAAAAAAGTATAACATTACCATAAAACTTATAAAAAAACAATATATAAAAACAATTTATTAAAAACTAATTAATTAAGGATAATAATTAAAAAGGGAAAAAAAAAAAAAAAAAAGAAAGAAATAGAAAGAGAATAGGATAAAAAAAAAAATATTAATATAAATAATATAATTTAAAATAAATATAAAATTAAATATTTTAATTTTATTAATTTATAAGATTAGATTTAGATTATTTTATAATATTATATTTAAAATTTGTGGGTTGCTATCTTATGCTAGCCAAGGGGATAGGTGATCCCGCTCTTATTATTCCGACAGTCCGACTAGGTGGTTACTTTATTTTTAGCACCTATGGTACCCTCCGTAACTGGACCTTAATTTACGTATTGTAGGTACATGCTGCGAACAGCTGCAGCTAAGCTCCAGAAATTCGTCATTTAGATATTATAACACCACGGGTCTAAAAGCTCTGGATAATTGCGATGAACGTTGTAAAAGGCTAATAGGCCGCGTCATAGAATACCCAAGATGTAGCTAAGGCAAGCGCATCATATTCCAAACCGAAAAGCTTCTCCTTTGTAGAATGTTACCTCTCATGTTATTACCTTTACTATTATTATTTTACTCCTGCAGCATCTCGAAACCTCATGCATATAATACCTAGCTTAGGTACCTAACATGTGAAGCATGTATGCACCCCGCGAAGACCTAAGGGTAGGGGAAGCATGCGCCTCGACTTGTATTACAGACCGTAATAGCTTGGAGCTCTTGTTTGCTGCGCCATACCTGCTACGTATTCTCGCATAGACCTGCCTCCATCTATGGAAGGTGTTGGGAATGACAAAAGAAGATGTTGTGTGGGTTCAGCGCAACCCACTTTGTAGGCAGTAAGATACCTAAGGAATATTAACCGGGATGCGGGACGGGACGGGATCATCATGCCTGAGCCTCACTGGGGAAGCTGAATCTATTCTAATCCTTTACATACCATAGCGGGGCTATATGGGTTCGTGGAACGATTACAACCCCCCTATAATGATGCCATGCATAGTAAGCGTTCAAATCAGACCTAATCATTTAATATTGCGGAATGATTCCAAAATGTGGAACGGTCTCATAAAATGTAACGATTCCGACACACACGTGACTTTCACGTGACTTTCACGTGTAAAAATGGGGCTAAAAGTCAAAAAAGTCAAAAAAAGGGAAAGACTGGTCCTCGAACCCACTACTCTTACGTTTGTGTAACCATAAACCCCACAATAAGGTTTAAAGTTTTAACGTTTGAGCTAATGGGACGAGGTGGCCAATCTCATCGAATTATTTCAAAATGTCCCCTCTTTTTGACCTTATAACCTTTACTTCAAAAAAAGTAGAATTTTGACTTAGAAAAAAAAAAAAAATTTAAATTTTTTTTTTCTAAGTCAAAATTCTACTTTTTTTGAAGTAAAGGTTATAAGGGTCAAAAAGAGGGGACATTTTGAAATAATTCGATGAGATTGGCACTCGTCCATTAGCTCAAACGTTAAAACTTTAAACCTTATTGTGGGGTTTATGGTTACACAAACGTAAGAGTAGTGGGTTCGAGGACCAGTCTTTCCCTTTTTTTGACTTTTTGACTTTTAGCCCCATTTTACACGTGAAAGTCACGTGAAAGTCACGTGTGTGTCGGAATCGTTACATTTTATGAGACCGTTCCACATTTTGGAATCATTCCGCAATATTAAATGATTAGGTCTGATTTGAAACGCTTACTATGCATGGCATCATTATAGGGGGGTTGTAATCGTTCCACGAACCCATATAGCCGCTATGTATGTAAAGGATTAGAATAGATTCAGCTTCCCCAGTGAGGCTCAGGCATGATGATCCCGTCCCGTCCCGCATCCCGGTTAATATTCCTTAGGTATCTTACTGCCTACAAAGTGGGTTGCGCTGAACCCACACAACATCTTCTTTTGTCATTCCCAACACCTTCCATAGATGGAGGCAGGTCTATGCGAGAATACGTAGCAGGTATGGCGCAGCAAAACAAGAGCTCCAAGCTATTACGGTCTGTAATACAAGTCGAGGCGCATGCTTCCCCTACCCTTAGGTCTTCGCGGGGTGCATACATGCTTCACATGTTAGGTACCTAAGCTAGGTATTATATGCATGAGGTTTCGAGATGCTGCAGGAGTAAAATAATAATAGTAAAGGTAATAACATGAGAGGTAACATTCTACAAAGGAGAAGCTTTTCGGTTTGGAATATGATGCGCTTGCCTTAGCTACATCTTGGGTATTCTATGACGCGGCCTATTAGCCT